TTAAGTATCAGCAGAAATCGCATATACATACATATGCACGATTCAACCACAACATTTTGGAAAATTAATTTTCAAAAGAAATATTTTGTATTTATAAATAAATAAAGGCATCATACATATTTTAAATTATTTCTAAAACAAATGTACATACTGCTAGCAAGTGTTTACATAATTGTTAAAAAAAAACAGTCTCGCTTCTGCTCCTACATTTATTATTAATAAATATGTAATACACAATAATATCAATTTGTTTTTTTAATATCATATATGCAATAATAAAGTTTTGATATTAAATTAGGAAATTTACAAAATGGTCGATTTAACATTTTAATATAAAAAAAAAATGTGAAAATGGTACGGAATTTCATCAGAATGAGTACCATATTTTATCATTATTTTCTGTGTGCCTAAAATATTGAAAAAAGTTTAGTAAACTCACTCATGTTCATTAATTTTAATTAATTGCTTTTGTATTTGCCAAAATTCAAAAGTAAACAAACCCAAATCAGCTGTTCGTGCCACTCACATGTCGGAGTAGCATTAGCTAAATGCTAATGCGCCAATGGAATCAGGCACATTTAAAAAGTCCACTAATGCGGCAATGGAATCAGGCTATTATAATGGCTAAATGCCGCATTTAAAATAAATGCGATTAAAAACCATTCGCCCCGAACGTTTTTAGGAAAAATACCGGAAAATACCGATGTTTAACGATATTTTCTTCGTGCCACCACTACAACAGCTGTTTTCTATAAGGTTGGCGCAATTTTTGATGTCTTTTGAATATAAAATCTATTTTGTATAAAAATGACTGAAACCTAGAGCGCTCGCTGCAAATTCTGCTCGCAGTACCACAATGCATTACTGCTGGATCTCTGGCATTAAATAACTCTCACATGTACGGGTTTCCTTGCCCTTTTTAGAAACTGTGGTGGTCTCCATTGAAACCCGTCATAACAACGCAATCAGTTTCTCTTCTTTGTCGTCCAAGTTGGCAAATATTTCGGTCGCAATATGGATGTCCTACTGAGCATTACTGAGTTTAGTAAACTCACTCATGTTCATTAATTTTAACTAATTTCTTTTGGATTTGCGAAAAATTCAAAAGTAAACAAGCCCAGATCAGCTGTTCGTGCCACTCACATGTCGGAGTAACTAAATGCTAATGTGCCAATGGAATCAGGTACATTTCAAAAGTCCACTAATGCGTCAATGGAATCAGGCTATAAGAAACAATCGAGAAATGTGTTGTGGCCGGGCTATCGATAGCCATATCGAATGTCGGTGCAGGGGTGATTTTATACTGAAAAATACTGAGTTGTTTGTATGGTCACCCCAATGTTAAACGGCCGTTGACCCTGCAAATTTGAAACAAGAGAGCCGGAGTTCGGGAAGGCGATAGGAGAAGAGGAGAGCCCATAACGAAAGTCACGGTCAAGGCGTGAAGGTTGCTGCGCTCCCTTCGCCAAGTAAAGTTTCTTTTTGTGGTGCACGTGCGGATTACATTATCCCTGTACCTTGGTGCGACAGAATTTTTTTTTGAGCTGCAGCACCGCGCCAGTGTCCACAGGCAACAACAACTTGAAGTAAAGGAAAGCAGGACTGGGAAGCCTAAAGCGGCAAAAAAAACACTGTAAGTGATCGGTGTGAGAGTGAGGCGATGCTTATGGGCTTTTCATTCCATAGCCGATCAGACCCAGTTACCAGGTTAAAAAAATCAGCCAGGTCACCCAAGTTGGCCTGGCGATTTTTTTTGTGAGGCCCGGACAAGAAAGACGGCCAGAGATTTGTTTTGGAGAAAATATTACGGCGTGGAGGACCGACACGCTTAACAAGAGGCGGCAACAGGAGCCAGTCGGCTTCAGTCAGATTTTTTTATTGTTGTTAGATTTTTAGAATAATTAATTATTTTATCGTGTGGTGTTGTTGTAAATTTGTATGATTATTTATTTAATGATTAGGGTTATTTACATCTTTTTTTTGGTTAATTTTTGTATTTACACATAGGCCATAATATCTACATACATCTTCAAATATTTTTCTTATTTACATTTGAATACATGCTGTCTACATGCATTATACTTACATCTACACATAAACGTATAATAACGTCTCATACCCATATTATTTATATTTAAATATTGTCAAATTGTTTGGTTTATTTGTATGTTTTTTTTTTTATATTTTTATTTATATAAATCCATGAGTGGCCCAAGTGAGCGTGGGGATTTGAGCCCGGAGCAATATAAATTCAATTTTCCTTGCGTATACAATTACATTTTTTTTAAATCCCTGGTCCTGGCAAAGAAAGAATAAACAACCTTAAGAGCTCTTACGGTTGGTCAGGGTCAAGGAGTATATAAATTTTGGGAAACCCGAAAACGTACACGTAAAGAAAAATAAGAATGATGAACATGGAGTAAAGATTAATTAATGGGAGAGGGGGGATATTAGTAAAAGGGGTACATAATGGTGCAATAAAAAAAAAGAAAAAGGAATAAATAAAGGTAAACAAATGTATTTGGGGCAGCTGCAAGTATGTTGCTCAAGGCAGTCTGCATGGTCGGGAGGGATGAGCAGGTGACCTCCAGTTTAGCAGGGGGAACACAATGAATTGCCAAATGTGTGTAGGCTTAAAAAGACTAATATTTGTGTATTTTTTTTTTTTTTGTTTGTTAATTGACATTTTAATTCAAAAATGACGGTGCAGCATAGAGTTTTGCAAAACGTAGGACATGAGAGTTCAACGTTTTCTGTTGTTGTGTGAGAGGGCAGGGTTAGGGGAACCACGGTCCTGGAAAATCGAGCTAGCTGGGGCAGCCCGACTCACGCTGGACCACCTAGGTTCATAACAGATGACGCCCAATTATGAAAAGGCAGTACTGTAGATTCCACTGGGAGAAAATTAGGAAAAACGTCAGCTCTAAGAGACCCTCTTTAAAATAAAGCGGTTGCTCGAGAGACTGCTCGTTATTAAACAGGGCTCTAGGACCGAAGTATCTATTAGAATTATATCATTTTTGAGTATTTATCTCTTTCATGCAGCGACGACATCAGCTCGGCATAAGCCAGGAGTAGATTTGCGATCGATGTGATATTAGAAGTAAGTGCTCAACTGTGATATATATCTGTGATAAAGCTTTAAGTATTAAAAACTAGTTGATTGACAATGACGGAGATATGGCAGAAGCCGGCGACAAGGTCATGATCATTCCGAAAAGGTGACCTATTGCGATCGGTGAAAGCTTGGATGGCCAACTCGACACTGCGAAATAAATGAGTAACAGTTTTCGTAATAGTTTGGCGGACAGACGTTGGACGGAGTTAAATAAATAATATAATATACTCTATATATAATATAATATAATAATATATATAATATAATAATATTTGATATTTTGCAGCTTGTTATTAGGGAAAAATAGGGAAATTAATTAAATAAAATTAAGGTTACCTAATATTAAATTGTATATATATGTCTAGTCTAGAGATGATTTAAAATTCTTTAACTACGCGCAGAAAAATGGTTAGAAAGAGCATCCAATTTTTATTGGGTGAGAAAAAATTGGATGTTGTATCTATTTAAAATGAAAGATCAAATAACGGTGATGGTTATTTTAGCAATTTAAAAATGGTACCTCCGATTGGTTTTTATATGCTTTGAATTGGATTAGACTGCCAACTTTGTTGGAAATGATGACAGGAATTCGAATTTCGATTAATGAGTCAACTTTTTTGAAAGGCAGAAAAGAACTCGATTAATCTTAGTTGAAAATCGTATTCGACTGACTTTATTCAATCCTCTAAAATTCTGTTGAATTTATAGGTTAAGAGTTACATTTTTTATGAAAATAAATTTTTTCAATTCGAGAAAATTCATCATCAATACTTAAATATACCAAAATAATATCACAAAAGTACATACAAACGATTATTTAACACGTATACGTGAAAATAAAACGAACGGTAATTAATCATTCCAATAAAGTGTTCAATTTTTGTCAATTTTTAAGCCTACAAAAATCGATAACATCGATTATTTTACAATAATCGACAATCAACTCTCGACTATCATTGGCTTTGCATTTTTCATCCCTACTCTTTTCTGTTCATTTCGGCTGCTCGCCACGTTCGCTTCGCTCGTTCCGGTATTGAGCGTTTTTTTGTGTTTAGTTCCTAGAAAATTCTACAAGAAGAGATGGATGAAAAAAGTTTGGAGTTTTTGGAAAATGTGGATCCCGAGAACGCGGAATTTTTGATTGTTCTTTTTAAATGTAAGTTTTCTCATGCTCATTAATTGATGCCTGAATTTATAGAACAACAATTTTCTAATAACTATTTTGTTTTCTAGGCAACGTACTACGTACCAAGGCAGCCGAAAACTAATTTGGAAGGCGCGAAGCAGCCCAGGGGTAAATTATATGATAAATATATCTGTATAATAAAAGATTTGCGTGCTTCAGGATTACGGTCGAAAGAGTCCGAACAGGTATGTCATGAGAAATGTCCCTTTCCATTTCTATAAAGTTTCTTTTTTAACTTTTTTCTCTTAACAGCCAACAACTGTTCATGACGATGGAGTGAAGAGAGATGAACAGGGTGAAGTGAAGGAAGACCTGGAGTGGTTAAGACGATGCCTCGAACCCGAGGCTTAGGCTACTGAGCGGTGGACTTCCGATTATCGCCTCCATTCCTTAAGAGTTACTCCTACTAGAAAAAGGGCTATTTGTCGTCAAATTCATTCAATTACAATTTATTTGAAAATAAAAAACTTATTGAAAATTTTTTAAGCAATTAAAATAGTCATAATATCACTGGTAGATGGTTTTATGAACCAACTAAATAGCAACCATATACCAAAAAGTTGGATCAAGCAAACAAACGCTTTTTTTGTCGAACTCTCTCAGTTGGTGAATATATCCAATTCCTGTGGATCCAAGAAAACTAGATAATCCAACCAACAAATTGGATCGCTCCCCAGCACCTATTTAAAATAGTTGTATTATCCAATTCATATATATTTCCAACTATTTTTCTGCGTGTAGGAAAATTAGAAGCTAATTCTGATTATTTCCCTTCCAAGAGCTACTCATCCAGCAACCGGCGTCCAAAATAGGATCCGAAATCACATCACATTCAGTTGTAGTCCGATGTCGTTTGCTCCAATGATTAGAGAGAAAGTAGCTTCGGACGGTGGAAGTGGTAATACCTAAAGGAAAGGAAAATTAATAAGAATTGGTAATGTTTTGGGATTTTTTTTTTCTTTGTCTAGTAATTATCAATTAAGTTGATAATTTAGCTAGTCGACGAAAAAATTCGGGATCTCTACCTTCATACATTTCGCAATAATTGTTTGTTTTTGTTTACCAATATAATGCACCCTGTATACCATAAATCTAATCTTTCAAATCTTTCTCCCATTTGGTTAAATAAATTGATAGGAAATCCGTCAATAAATAAAATATAGTTCATTTAGTTCAGGTAGGAGATGTTAATAGTTTTAAATATATACGCAAAATTCAATGGGAAGTACTCACCTGTCCAGAATGAGTGACAACGAAAATACAGAGCAAGATCAAGGGTAAGGAAGGCCAGGGGATAGGAACCGTCTAAGCGCGCAACAAAAGGGAGTTATTCCTAGGGGGTTAAATCTCGATAACACTTGTACTCCTTTTGGAACCTACTCGCATATTCAGTTGGACCCAATACAAGAGCAGTATAGCGCGGAAGCTGCGGCGGAATACGACTCAGGCTCAGGCGACAGAAGGGAAATCGAGCTGTTAATTATGACGTCCCAGGAGCAATTAAGAGTCGACATGCAACAGTTGGTAGATGTGCGAATCGAACAATGTATGCAGACCGGATTCGCTGAACTGATGAAAAAGCTGGAGTTAAAAGGAAATTCGCCAGCATCATCATCATCAGCTGGAAGTGCGAACAGCCGAATTGGGCCAATCATTAGTCGGCCCGGTCAGCAAAACATGCAGGAGGACAGAAGCCAGCAGGAAGGCGGCGGAAGTGCGGCTGACACCGAAGTACCAGGAGGAGGACGACAAAGGCAGGCGCTTAGCGGCAACGTGCAACCAGCTTATAGGAACTTATTTCCGAATCTTGGGCAGAATGGAATCTCTAATGTGTCTCAATCGATGCTACATTTACCAGGCAATATTAGTAACCGATTTGCACCCAACATGCCTGGTGCAAACAGCAGCCAAGGGGTGGGCAATTGAGATTCTATATTCCTCTCGACAAATGGGGATTCCAATTTGCAGGCAACACAGGAACCATGAGCGCCGAGTATTTTTTCTTTCGGGTAGAACACCTTCAACAACACTACGGCATGCCGTGGCCAGAGTTGTGAAGAGATTTCCATCGCCTTCTGGTTGAAGATGCCTCCGAGTGGTACTGGCTAATGATCCGCACAAAGCCGCCGAGGGACTGGTCCGAGCTCTAAACTGCTTTAGAGCGGCGTTATTGCGATAATAGAGCGGCGTTATTACGATAATAGGAAGCTGTGGAAGCAATCGGTGTCGAGTCCATGAGGAAGCCAATGGTGTGCTGGAACTGTCAGCAGAAGGGTCATGGTTTTAAGGAGTGCGAAGCGGAGCAACGGAATCTGTTCTGCTACAAATGTGGATTGGCAAACACATTTACTCCAAAATGCCCCAAATGCAGCCAGGGAAACGGTCTCCGGAACGCGGGAGTGGCAGGCAATCTACGTTCCGGGAGAGAGCCTACGGAAAATCCGAGGAGGCAGCACTAAAACAGTAAGACAGCAAGCAAGCTGCGGTCAGGGAAACAACATCCAATCCTGACAGGGTATTGTTGTCACTGCAGGAACGCCTGCGCCGGTATATGGAGGCTCGAGATCGCATATTTTATAAGAATCAGCTGATGGGAAAGACATTAATAACAAGAAGAGTTAAGAAAGCTAGAGAAAGGTTTAAGAAACGTCGGCAAGAACGGCAGCAGGTGCAACGATCAGTTACGGCCATGGGCAGAAAAGAAGCCAGAACAGATCCGCGCCCATATGTATTGGTGCAGATGGCCGGAAAGGAATTTCGTGGGCTACTGGATTCTTGCGCATCCGTAAGCTTGTTGGGCAAAGGCTGCAAGGAGTTAGTGCACAAAATGGGAATTCCTTGGTAACCCTATCATGCAAAGGTGCGAACTGCAAGTGGATCATCCCAAAACATATTAGGAAAAATACGAATTCCAGTTAATTATAAGGGTACCAATGTCAACATGAGTATTTTTCTATGTCCTCTGGGTCAGGAGCTGTATCTGGGAGTCGATTTTTGGCGTGGATTTGGGATAGCACCAGAAATATTCGGGCTCGAAGAACTCACGACGGAAAGCAAGCTAATGCAAGAGGTACCAGACAGAATAAATCCCTAACCACACGATCTTAGTAACAACCAAAGGTCGCAGTTGAAAGAAGTTTAAGAATAATTTCTGTCTTTTGAAGAGCACGGATTGGGAAGAACATGAAGCGCACTATTGAGCTGGTAAAGGAGGCAGTTCCGGTAAAAGATCGCCATTATCCGGTATCTCCTGCTGTCCAAAAGCTTATATATGAGAAAGTAGATGAAATGTTGCGCCTAGGGGTCATTGAAGAGAGCGATAGCGCCTGGAGCAATACGATTACACTAGTTAGAAAGCCTGGTAAAAATCGACTCTGCTTAGATGCCCGGAAGCTGAATGAGAGAACCATAAAGGATGCATATCGGCAGCAAAATATAGGGGGCATACTGAGTCGCATTGATACGACCAGGTTTATAACGAGCGTCGACCTAAAGCTTGCATTTTGGCAGATAGAGTTGGAAGAGAGCCATAGAAAGTACACAGCGTTTACAGTGCCGGGACGGCCGTTGTGCCAATTCGTAGCTATGCCGTTTGGATTAACCAACGCTGCCCAACGTTTATGTCGCTTGATGGACAAAGTGATACCTCAAACGCTCAGGGAGAAGGTGTTTTTATACCTTGAAGATTTGCTGGTGGTATCTCCTACATTCGACGAGCATATAGAAGCGTTGAAAAGAGTTTCTCTATGTCTCCGAGAAGCAGGTTTGAAGATAGGGCTCAAAAATTCACATTTTTGTTTTAAGGAGCTGCGATATCTTGGGTTTATCATAAGTAAAGGAGTCCTGAGGACGGATCCTGGTAAAGTGGATGCAATCCGAAACATGCCGGAACCAAGAAGTGCAAAGGAAGTACGACGCCTTTTGGGTACAGCCGGATGGTATCGCAGATTCATCAGGAACTTTGCTGAATTGGCAGCACCGCTCACGGATACCTTAAAAAAGGGTCGAAAATTCGAAATGACGCTAAGGAAGCAATGGAAGCCTTAAAAACTGCGCTTATATCAGCTCTAGTGTTACGGCATCCGGACTTCCCTAAAAGGTTCTACGTGCAATGTGATGCTTCAGATGTTGGAATAGGAGCAGTGTTATTCCAGGAAGAAGAGGATGACGGTGAAAGACCAATCGCTTTCTATTCTCAGAAGCTCAATTCTTTCCAAATTAAGTATAGCGTTACCGAAAAGGAGTGCATGGCGGCCGTCTTGGTGTAAAACGGTTCAGGCAATATATAGAGTTGATGCCGCTTACGATAATAACAGACCACTCTAGCCTAAAATGGCTGATGTCATTGAAGGATTTGAGTGGGCGGCTGGCAAGATGGTCCTAGCGGCGGACTACACCGAGTTGAGAAAGGAGGTCGAGGCAAATCAGGAGAGATTGCCGGATTTAAAAGTAGTGGACGGCTTTGTATTCAAACGCACTCTAGTGGTAGACCATTTTTCGAAATTCGTCTTTTTAAAAGCCATGAGGGAGGCCACTGCAGCAGCAGTCGTAAGGTTTTTGACCAGCGAAGTGTTCCACACGTTTGGCGTACCGGAAATACTGCATTCCGATAATGGAAAACAATTCGTGGGAAAGAAGTTTGCGGATATGATACAGCTTTACCAAATAAAACATGTAAGGACGGCGGTTAATTCTCTTCAGTCCAATGCGTCCGAAAGAGTGAACCAATCGGTGCTGAATGTGATTAGGGCCTACTTGGATCAGGATCACCGCGACTGGGACTTATATCTGCCCGAGATAGAAACGGCTTTAAGAAGCTCGATACACCAGGCCACCGGCTCTACACCGTATTTTGCACTGTTTGGCCAGCATATGTTCACAAGTGGGGCTGATTACCAATTGGCAAGAAAGCTGCTCTCGTTGGAGGACTGCAAAATCCGGCATCTAGAACATGGAGATAGGTTGGAACTGTTGCGCGAGTCGATCCGCAGGAATATACATAGAGCGCACGAGTCCAGCGCGCGCTACTATAATCGGACCACACGGCAGATCACATTCAAGCCAGGGCAAGAAATCTTCCGAAGGAATATTGTACAAAGTGACTTTGAAAAGAACTTTAATGCGAAATTCGCCAGAAAGTTTGTCAAGTGCAGGATTCGCAGGCCCGTGGGTAATCATATGTATGAAGTGGAAAACATGCGCGGAAAGCTCTGCGGGGTGTACCATGTGAAGGACTTAAAGCAGTAAGGGATGTCTGAAGAAGGCGACCTACACCAAGGGGATATGAACGACCAACGAAGAGTATCTGGAAGAGAGAAGAAATATAAATCTGGAATATGTTTCAGATATTTCACGTATAACAGGACAGCTGATCTTCCGGAGTAAGAATCACCGAAGTCCAGACTGGGTCGTTGGGCATATTGGGCGTTTTTCCTCGTTGGGCGCTTGGAGAGTTCCTATGTGTCCTGCGGGTGTCAAATCCGTGGTTCTGACTCCAGATTACGGATTAAGGCCATTTCTTCACTGCCAATTCTCTTGTTTTGTTTTCGTATTCGGATTGTTGTTGATTGTCAGTGTGGTTGTTGTGGCCGGGCTATCGATAGCCATATCGAACGTCGGCGCAGGGGTGATTTTATACTGAAAAATACTGAGTTGTTTGTGAGCGTGGGGATTTGAGCCCGGAGCAATATAAATTCAATTTTCCTTGCGTATACAATTACATTTTTTTTAAATCCCTGGTAAAGAAAGAATAAACAACCTTAAGAGCTCTTACGGTAGGTCAGGGTCAAGGAGTATATCAATTTTGGGAAACCCGAAAACGTACACTGGGGTCCACAAAAGGGTAATATGTTTTAAAAACTAGTAAATAAGAATTATTAAAGGAAAATAAGAAAGATGAACATGGAGTAAAGATTAATTAATGGGAGAGGCGGGGATATTGGTAAAAGGGGTACATAATGGTGCAATTAAAAAAAAAAGAAAAACGAATAAATAAAGGTAAACAAATATATTTGGGGCAGCTGCAAGTATGTTGCCCAAGGCAGTCTGCATGGTCGGGAGGGATGAGCAGGTGACCTCCAGTTCAGCAGGGGGAACACAAGGAATTGCCAAATGTGTGTAGGTTTAAAAATATTTGTGTGTTTTTATTGGTTTGTTTGCCCCTCCGTTGGAAACGTTTAGAAATTTAAAAAAAAAAATCCACCTTTCGATAATAGCTGATCTGGCTCGTCAAAAGATAAACAAAGTTATGTTTTGATGAGCCACAGCTGTTTAGATCAGCTGTTATCGGAAGGTGGATCTGCTCTGTGGAAACCGGCGAACTAATGCCCTCTTTCCACACAGTCCATCCCCTGGAAACGGTGAGAATTTTCAACAAATGTGAAACTCCGATTTCCAAAGAGCACATCCACCTTCCGATTTCAGCTGATCTGAACAGTCAAAACGCAAACAAACTCAAGGTGGATGTGCTGTGGAAACCGGAAAAATCCCAACGGTTTTTCAGGGATGGACTGCGTGGAAAGAGGGCTGCACCGCAGTCCGTCAAATTTTAAAGGCGGACTAACTGGGATAATATTGGAACGGCAAAACCTTAAGTACCCTCCGTTCAATAGAGCTGGGAAAATATCGATGGTTTATTGATTATTCGATATTTTAAAATCAAATATTCGATTGTATTGATAGTATCAAAATTAGAAATGTATTTTTGTTTTATATTTGGAATAATAAATCTCTGAAAAGAAAAAAAAATTTATTCGTAAAAAGTGTTTGAGTTTTAGCCTCCTATGGGAGTAATCTTGTCTAGGAGCCTGAATTCAAAGAATTTTTTCAAGATAAATAAATTGTTTTATTTAAAATTTTGTATGGGTTTATTATTGAAATATTGAGAATATATAAAAAAAATATCAATATTCGCCGAGGTACAGGCCGGTGGATTGAGGTCTTCAAAAAGGATGAAGACAGGCAATGCCTACATGTACGGCTGTTTCGATTAAACGCCTATTTATTTATATTAAAAACTTTATAAAAAAAACTGAAAGAAAAGTTGTAGATCTAGTTGAAATTCACATTTTATGCTATTAAGTAAAGTTGATAGAGTAGGAACAAAATTAATAAAACTGGTTCCTTCAAACTGTCATTTTAAAATGAGTGCTCAATTAAGTGGAAAGAAAATAAAAAAAAATAAAAATAGCGTGTTTTACCGTACAAAACAAAAAAATCAATGTTCGAGTCGCTTCAAACGCTGTAACTCTGTCAGTTTTAACCCGACAAATACCCTTCTAACTCCCTTTAAGAATTGGAAATGTATTTTTAAACGCATAAGTTACTTCATTAGTTAGTAACGTAATTATAATACCCTCTTAAAAAAAAGGTATGCAATTTATCAGATTACTTTTAAAATCAATTCCACAACCGAATTTGCATGATAATGAAAACAATAACGTTGACTTCTAAATTCTTAAGCGAAAAATAATTTATTTCATATAAACTTTGGAGACAGTTCTGGCCATCGAATCAAAAAGAAACATTTTGACCATGTTTCGAATAATTTTCCAATTGTATGTTGAAAAGAGTTATCCAACAATTTGTATGATCTTGGTGGGGTTTGTACTGTGGTTTGATGCTAAGCCAGTTTTGAGTGTCATCCATTGAAGGGAATAATTTCAGTTTCGCATAGTTGCTTATTAATGGTAGATTAGGTACAGATCGGACTAAGTGGCGCGAAAGCCCTATTTTATTCAGTCTTGCCTCTGCGTAGTACTGCTGTTTAAGAATTTGCAGGTCCTCATTTACGTTTAACGCACGGCAACTTTCGTTTAATGGTAAAGCGGAGATTTCGCGCTGATTAACAGGAGGTACTTGTGGTTCGAATTCTGATGTCACAATATTCAATGGGCTTGATTGTACTTCTGGGGCACTACACACTCGACGGTGCCACAGAGTGCCCGGAACTTGGCTGGCTACAAAAAAAGCTCCCGCCAAGGTAATTACACTAGCTGCATAGCTCAGCGCTAGTACGGAAAAACTGTTTACCAGGAATTTCGTCCACGCAAAGCTGGGCAGCAGCTGCACCAGCTCACTGTAAGTAAACCAGCCTCTCCGCAATCCCTGCCGCTCAGCTAGAGTTCGTTCAACACTGTTTAATTTATTAAAAAAGTGCTCGTTCGATATGTATATATTCCAGTCCTACAACGAAAATGTTTTGTAAAGGTGGCTATACACTTTTGAACTGCTTACCATAGCGGAAAGAAAATTTAGCTCCATTTCCTTGATTCTGCCTTCTGTCATGTTGCCTTCATTGGCCCAGTCTTCCAGATAAAACCGTTCGTCATGACCGACATAGAATTTAGTGGAAATCATCTAAAAAAATATATTAAAGCTATCGAATAGACAGAAAGACTGACAGCTGGATTGAAAATATTTCATTCCATTGAGAACTAGAGGAACCAGTGCTTTATATCTTATCACTGTCCACATGGTCACGTGCTTATGTGTTGGTTCTCGGCTCAGGTCGATGAACAGGTGTTCATGCTGACTTACCAGTGATACAACAAAAAGCTCATGCGGAGTGATTTGGGAGCTATACCCCGGGTCGATGATGTTTAATCGGTCCAAATAGATCAGTGCCATAATTAGAGAGCAAGGTGTGGCCTGTACTTTTGCAGCAGCAACCCAACTTAAGCGATGTAAGGAGTGACCCCGATGTGGCTCCGAAAACGTATCTGCTGCGTACTCCGCCAAGGGCAGGGAGACTTCCATGTCTGTATCGGCTGTTCCCACACCATAATAAAGACTTTTACGAATCCGATTTATAAACACGTCGTGCTGCACAACCTGTCAATTAAACTAATTTTTAAAAACCTTCTATAGTTAAAGTTTTTTGTTTCGTACCTTTTTCGTCGGAAAAACCAACTTACTGCGTCCCATTTGGATGAAACGGTTAGAACCGATATCGTTAATTAACAATATAAAAACAATCGCACTTTTTATTCGGTAATTTTAATTTATTAGTTGAGCTGTCAAACTTAGAGCTGGGTTGGCCACTCATGATAGTATCGATATATCGGATAATTGGGTTTAGAAACACTATCGATGTATGTTTTAAATTCGATAGTAAACGAAAAGTGGTAAACGCCTTCTGCCCTCTTTTCACACAGTCCATCCGTTGGATATGGTTGGAATTTTCCACATATGTGAAACTTCGATTTTCACAGAGCACATCCACCGTTTCCAACGGATGGACTTTGTGGAAAGAGGGCATTAGTCCGCCGTTAAAATTAGAAGGACTTTGACTGACTAATTTATGCGATAGTTGGCAGATGTTTTTGCGGTGCAGCCTTGTTCCAACGCAGTCCATCCATGAAAAACCATTGAGATTGTTGAAATAGTGTAACTCCGGTTTCCACAGAGCAGATTCACCTTCCACCATCCGATTTCACCTGATCTGAACAGCCGTGGCTCATCAAAACTTTAACAAAAACAACAGGCCAACCATCTTTGTTTATGTTTTCAGGAGCCACAGCTGTACAGATCTACTGAAATCGGAAGGTGAATCTGCTCTGTGGAAACCGGAGTTACAGTATTTCAAAAATCTCAACGGTTTTTCAGAGATGGACTGCGTTGGAACAGGGCTGCACCGCAAAAACATCTGCCAACTATTGCATAAATTAGTCAGTCAAAGTTCGTCTAACTTTAACGGCGGACTAGCTGGGAAATTTTTTTAACGACCAAACCTTACGGACCATCCCTTCAACGGATCTCTGTGGAAATATGCTATTAAAGCGTCTGCACACAGCCGCTTAAAAGATTTGTAGCGAAAAAGTTGAAGCGACCTATTCACACGGGCATCCACTGATGCAAAAACAACTAATCAGCTACTAGTAGGATACAAAAATTAAAAGAAGAAGAAAAGAACACTGTTTATGGGGAAGACAACCAAAATGCCACCCTTTAGCTTAGAAATTAAAAGCACGATAGGTTCAGTTGAAATTATTTCTTGATTTTATTAGCTGTGCTCGGAGTTGCAGCAATTCTGTATTACTGACTTGCCGAAAGCCTGACCCCGATAGTAAAATATATGAACCTGATTTTGCTATAAAAATACCATTCGATGAAATACAACCGGGGCCGATACATCAATGAGCAAAATTGTATTGTATCATTTATTCGAGTTGACGACAGAACGAAATGAAAAAGCGAGACTTAAATGTATACGAAATACACTATATAACAAACAAAAAAAGTTTGAATTTATCGTTAAAAAGGCAGTGGGACCGTGATTATATAACCAAAAAAATCTCAAGCAGTTTCCATATAGCTGCCTATGTCTCTAAGCTTCAATGAATTCGTCAATGAATGAGGCGAACAATGTAATGTCATACCCGTATCAGTGTTTTCATTCAGAAATGAGCTAACCGTACTTAAACTTTACTCCTAAAATTGAAAGAGGTCGAATAAGGCTTATAGCTTGATTCCCTTCCCATGTTAGTGGACTTTTTAAATGTGCCTGATTTTTAAATGTGCCTGACTCCGAAATGTGAGTGGCACGAACAGCTCATCTGGGTTTGTCTACTTTTGCATTGCCAGAATCAACGCGAAATAAATTACAAATCATTAATATGAGCGAGTTTACGGAAATCTCTAACGGTCAGCAAGACATCCATAATGCTATCGAGGAATTTGCCAACTTGGACGACAAGGAAGGGAAGCTGTTGGTGTTTTTGACGGGTTGCCAACCCACCATAGTTTATAAAAAAGAGCATGTTTAAATTTCATGATTATTATGAGTTAAAGCCTTTAATTTGAGCATGTAAATTGAATCATTTGTAGAGCCAATAAACGTTCTCAATTGCCTATCTTAGATAACTTAAACATTGATAACTTTTTGTGGAAACCACACTGCCAATTACAGAGGCTGCCCTGTCTATAAAGAGCTAAAATCACGCCTAACACAACAAATAACTGCGGCTCGAAAACCAGTCAGCCGACATAACATACCGTATATATGTACCATCAACCGCGACTCCAGGAGTTTTTTTTTGCTCAGGCGCTAAGCTATAACAACGTATCATATGCCTCACGGCCTAGGACTACGCCTTCCCAAGCCAATGCAGGAATAACGCAGAAAAAGATATCGAACCAGGGTTCTGAAATTACCGACCAATTGCCAAATGGGTTAGAATAAATGTTTGTCACTATAACAAACACA